AGAGAGAGAGAGAGAGAGAGAGAGAGAGAGAGAGACAGAGCCAGAGAGACAGAGACAGAAAGACAAACATAGGAAAGAGAGAGAATAAAACAGGAATGGGCATACAAGCACCAACCTGGAGAAAAGTTAAGAGAAACTGGGAAAAAAAAAAGTAAAGACAGAGAATTCTAAAGTGAGAACACCTGCTGACTCTACATCAGCAAATACCTTGCATATGGCTCCCTTAAAACGAACATAGATCTGCTGCAATGACTCTTTCTTGTGCGCTGCGATTTGCTCCAGCTGAAAAGTACGAAAGAAGAAAGCATAAGCACTTGGACCAAAAACAAATTATCTCAAATCTTATGAAAAGTGCTTGGGTAGGCCACAAAATATACACATATTGCTATATGCTAGACTGACACACAGAGAGAGACAGACAGACAGAGAGAGACAGACAGACAGAGAGAGAGAGAGAGAGAGAGAGAGAGAGAGAGAAATAGAGAGAGGGAAGGAAAGGAAAGAGACAGACAGACAGAGGGAGAGAGAAAGAGAGAAAAAGCGGGACAAAATTGAATATGATGAGACACGGTTTACAGGAAGAGTGAACATTGAAGAACAGACCTGTGTGAAGGCCACAGAGGCGATGTTCAGCTGACGACTGAGCCGATGTTCCAGCAACCTCACAACCACCGACTGTAGCAGGCTGCCCTCCACAACTCTGGCAAGAAGGCATTTTTTAAAAATAAAATCAAAATTCACTGTTATTAATTCAAATGAAGAAATTAGTTTTACAAAGCCATGATACAGATATATATGAATGAATAAATACATACATATAAAAATCAGTCAATGCAACATAATACTGACCGTACGACCAATACGAACTATACGAATATATAAATACAAAAAATACACAATCTGTCTACAAAACATATTATAAAACCAATACTGAAAATATTATATGAATACATAAATCCATATATACAATAGCTATTGACATTACATAATACACACTATAATTATAACATCAATACAGACAATATATTACAACATACTATCAACTTAATACACCTCCAACCAACTGCAAAGCTTCACCTTTACCCATGCAAATTTTATTTCAAATAGCAGACAAAACAACTTTGCTTCAGGCAACAGGTCAAGTGCTTTCCCCTTACACCTAAATTCCTAGTTCAATACCAAAATTCATCCATATATGATCACAGGCTCGTGTCTTGTTTTAATTCTCTCATAAAAAGATTTCTTTCACTTTAAACCTGTACATAGACGTAGAGCAGTATCGGATCAAGGAGGCAGGCACTCCTGTACAATTGCGGTCCCGTTTGTACATAGTGCCCCTGTAGTGTGTTTCTTATTTAGAGATCTTAACCGAATTAAAATTATAACCTAGGCTATCTAATCTAGATCTAGAATCTAGATATATCTAAATATGTGTAGATCTAGATTATATCTAGAGATAGATTTTCTAGATCTAGATCTAGATTCACTTCCACAGCAGCCACAATAGCCGTCGTGTAAACAAACGGGACCCAATTGTACAGGACTGCCGCGGGCCGCTATTTCTTTCGCAAAAAACGGCTAGTTCAATTTTCTAATGAACTTTTCAAGTCGCACACTGGCTGCTTCTTTCTCATTCTAGCTCCTTTTATTTTTGCATTCTGCATCAATTTCTCTCGAATTTTCGCCAATTTCAATGACAACTCGGCGCGCTGACGTCCCGATGCCCGATCGAAACTTTGTTGCTCCACAACAATAAACAATGTGAAACTAGCGCTGGGCCTAGAAGAACGGAAGTAGAAAGCTACGGGCGGACATGCGCAAGCCGCGTTTTCGTCTCTCTCCCGGTTCGGTGTTTTCCGCGGGAAAAAAAAAGTATGAAATTTGCGACCAAGAGCGGTCCAGCGGAGGATGGAGGAAAGTTGCAGGAAAAGCTAGATGAAGCCGAGTTTCTGCTATTTAGCGGGAAAGTGGCAGCTATGGCAAGCAAAGCACCTATCCGCTACATCAGACGCCAGTGGGGTTGGTTTTTTTGCTGCTGTTTTTTTCTATCATGACCAAAACAAAACTCAGCATTTCAGAGTCCCAAGACAAACCTTTAGTAAACATGAATTAACATAGATTATATTTGCCCATGTGGGGAGAAGTTTTATCAAGTATCTCCGTGACTTTTTGGAACATTGTATCCCTCGCAGCCCAGATTTGTCCTGACATGCAAGGTGGAAGCATCCCGCCTCTTATACGACCAAAATTGTGCTGTAAAATGTTCCAAATTCTGCTGTAATATATCTGAAATCAATGTTAAAATTTTTTGCACGGAAAAGAAGATGGATGCGTGAGGGAGGAAAGGAAAGTAAGGTTGCTTGAGTGGGTCGTTGGCAGGTGCTCTGGTATGATTTGCTTCTCCTTCCCTATCAAACATGTATCATCCTCCTCCTCCCTCCTCCTTTTTTTTGTTTGTTACTCACTTGTAACAACTCTAATCTTCGGCACTTATATGACCTAAATGTGTTGCAAGTGCCGTAAAACTCTTATTTAAACCCAAAAAAAAGTTGCACGATACCTGCCAAACTGGCCGAGGGCTGTGAGTGCTGTCTCCAAAAAGGCCTTTTCTCGTCTCCCCAGATGAGTCTTTGAGCAGAGGCGCTCCAGGTGCTGTAGGATCTGGTTGTCCATCACCGAGGGTTTCCCCACTGGCAGTCTGGCCTCAGCTGTCACCAGGCACGGGATCAGGGAGCTTCACCAGCACAGCGGACAGAGGAATTGTAGAAACGTTACTGTCAATGTTCTCAAATATTACAGAAGGAGGAGAAGAAGAGGAAAAGGGAGGAGGAGGGGAGGGAGAAGAAGCATGAAAAGGGGAAAGGGAAGGGGAAGAAGAAGAAGGAGAAGGAGAAGGAGAAGGAGAAGGAGAAGGAGAAGGAGTAGGAGAAGGAGAAGGAGAAGGAGAAGGAGAAGAAGAAGAAGAAGAAGAAGAAGAAGAAGAAGAAGAAGAAGAAGAAGAAGAAGAAGAAGAAGAAGAAGAAGAAGAAGAAGAAGAAGAAGAAGAAAAAGAAGAAGAAGAAGAAGAAGAAAAAGAAGAAGAAGAAAGAAAGAAGACAGACATAATTAACTTCAAGAAAATGACAGTTAAAAATCTACAAATTTGACCCTTTTGTCAATTTTCAGCCATTTTCTCCATTTCCAGATTGCAAGATGAAATTCAGTGTGTCAGCACGCCTCACACATGGTTGATAAAAACCACCACTATAGGAATGAAAAAAGTCTAAATCAAAACAAAACAAAATTTAATTAAGCTGTAAATTTTCTTACCCCGCCTGACAAATACAAGAATACACAACACACACGAGCACAACACACAAGAACCGACCAACATTCCAATCGTATGTCCCGAGCGTCATCCTCCACCAACTTGAGACAAGAGGCCACCGTACTTTTCTTCAATGTCTCAGACCCACTCAGATCCACGAAGGGAAGAACTTTGGTCAGACTACGCAAGGCAACTTTGAAAAAAGAATAGGCAAGTTAAAAAACAAAGTGAACATAACATCAAACTAAATTTCTTTTTTAGAAAAACATCAGGCACACTGCATGAAACTACATTAAATTTTTTAAGAACATAATGTTCACTACATAACACTTAATTGCTTTTTTCAAAACGTGTACTTCATCAAATTACATTTTTTAACTTTAAAAATATATATCACATGCACTACATGAATATACATCAATTTTTAAAATTCCATTGTGTATTCTACATCAAAACTATATTACTATTTTGAAAAAATAATGAGTACTACATCAAATTATAAGACATCTTTAAAAAAGTCATGCTCCTTAGAATGTATTTTTTGTCATAAAGAGAAGCACATCAAGAAAATATCTGTCATTTAGTGCAAGCAAAGAAACAACAGAGAAAGACCAGCCTGTGGGGACATCCCCGAACTACCCACAAATATTGTGTATCCTCCATCAAGCTGCAGTATTCCTTTGATCTTCGATAACTATTATCTATCAACAGCAGTGCTCATTCTGCTATCCTCAAACCTTTCAAAGCTTCTCTGAAACTCATAATAAATAAGGTTGAACCAGAGAAGTCCCAACTTTTGTTTGTCTTGGTAAGAGGTTTACAGCACATGCAACTCGATAAGGTCATATAGGTCCCCAAGGTTTAAGGTGTTACAAGAGAGTGACAAACCAAAAAAAAAGGAGGAAGAAAGATAAGGACAATAAATATTTGATAGGAAAGAAGGAGCAAACCAGACCAGAGCACCCGCTAATTACTCACCCCAACTTTTGATGAGCCAAACTTGTACATAAAGATTCAATTCATTTAGAAAAATGCCTGATTGCTTTCCTTTCCCTGCGCCTGTGATTTTTTTTACATCATCTGGGTCCAAAATCAATAACTTTTTCGCGAACTGAAGAACAACATTTTCATTTGGGTAAAGAAAAGACTCATTGACAAAATGACAGCCATTCATATAGCGCGGAAAAAAAAAAGGGGGATGCACAGAGAGAAACAACAGATGGAAAGAATAGAATGGTTCAAACAATGGTGCCTTCCAACCACCAGCAATAACAACTGTAATCTAATGTGAGACTCATTAAAGTGTTAAACTTTGATTAAAGAGACGCACATCCATATGATAACGGTCATTCCGAGTAGGGTGAAAGTATGACGGATAGACAGAAACAACAGAGGGAAAGAAAAGAAGTAGGACTCATCAGAGGTACCCTCAACTACAGAAAAACTGTTGCAAAATTTCTTTTCACAGCATGGAGAAACAAAATACACCTCTAATAGTATCTCCAAGTCAATAGTCACACTTTGTGTGCCAAAGCGATAACAAAGTAAAACTTACTCAGGCGAAAGTCCCCACTGCGTGTGAGTAGGGAGAAGAACGGGGTGACCTCCTCCAGTTTCAAAACTTTCCCAGTGTCTGTACATAGGCAAAAAGAACAAATTTAACACAAGAACAAAATACTGATGAAATTGTACAACAAGCCACCGATTGTCAAGGAGAAAAAGTTTATCCCAGACAGGAGAAAGTCTTGTACAGTGACAATATAATATGAGAGGCAGCGTGGTAGAATCAGGCTCTCGTCAAAATAATCAAAGTGAAGAAACTTGCATTTTTCCGCAGGTTTGTGAATTTTTATCAAATTTTTTTTTTTGGCTCAACACTTTTCAAGTTCAGTAAAGAACTCATTTCTATGTGGATTTTTTTTTAAAGCGTTGATTAAAGGCTCAAAAATGTAAATTTTCAGTTACCACGGACTCTCAAGCTAAGGAAATAACTAATCTTTGGCAGCCATTTTCTCACTAGATTTACCTCTGACAACAGGTGATCCCCACCTCCTTCTTTCGCAAATATCTCGACTTGTATTCAAGATAAAAGGATATTTTTTTTGTCCATATAAAAACATGTGAATAAACTTTAAGATGATACCAATAACTCTACATGCCCAAAAATTGACGAGAGCCTGATTCCACCACGCTGCCTCACATATAGAAACAACATAAGGGGGGAGGGAGGAAGCCGTCTTGTGTAAGGGCGAGTGTCTTGGATAGGTGGTCATTAGAGATGTTTCGACTGTAAATAAATATAAGAAAACAAATTGTTAAAAAATCCACTTTTGGTCTAAAATAAAGTACACACATACATAAATACACACATTACAAAAATTCATTAAAGCTACATAGTACACAAAGTTATCCACAAACACACTACTGCAGTATCTTGTTTTTGACATAGGGTTAACATGTTTTGCTGAAGGACACATCCTAGGGATCACCCTCCTTAATGGCGAGTCACCTTGACTTACACAAAGACACTCTAAAGAGTATGCTGCACTGCATATAAGAGACCTACCACTCTATGGAATCTAAAAATGAGGATCTCAGGGGGAACAATTAGTCAGGATCAACAACTGACAAATAACTGCCATGCTGACTTTAAAATGTTCCACGGGTTTCCATAAATACATGTATATCCAAGTATAGACACTCTGTGCATGTGCGCATGTGTGTGTGCTTTATCATTATTTTTTTTTAAATCCTGAAGTATCGCGTCAAGGAATCCTAGTCCAAGGACTTGTTTAAGTTTGGCTTAAGGATGTATCACCGACACAACACAGATACCAACTGGCTGCGCAATAAAATCGTTAACTTTTCAGACCCAATGGAAATGCTTACGCAAGGACTCAAAATTTACAGATCTTATTGTCAAATACATCTTACATCTTGTACCATGGTTTGTTTTTAGATAAATGCAACACGATATGAATAAAGATGTTTATAAATGTATAAATAGAAATACATTTTAACTCACTTGCGACTGGGCCCTTTCACCAGTCACAAGCGTTGAAGACTGGCGTTTTGGGGGGTATTTCAATAAATCACCACAACTCTCAGAATTACCCCATTGTAATCATTTTTTGACACAGTAAAGTAACATTCAAGCTTAATCTAATACAAAAAACTAAAGTTGTCTAAGTCTAATACTATAATTTGTATGATTTTTTAAAAATTGGCATGAATTTGATTTTCGAAAAATTTCCAGAGACGTGACAAGTAGAATGAAATTCACTGCAACAACAAAAATGAAAGTTCAAAGTGTTCTGGTTGATTTGTATACATGTGCAAGTGTTTGGTGAAAATATAAAAGCTGGTCTGTGCATTGATTCAGACCCATACACTGAATTACATGAGACAGATGTACGGCACGACGTTGTGATTTCGTTGCGCGAAAAACAACACCGGTACTAGTGCTAGATCTAGCCCTAGAACTACGACTCGGGCCGTGTTCGGGTACATATCCAGGATCCTAACTAATAGACACATCATATTCTGAGACATTAGAACTAGTAGAACGCACAGAAGTATAGAAAACGGCGAAATTATGTGATTCTTGTTCATGCGACTTCTTCGACCGTTACTACGACGCGACTGTCGGATTACTATGAGCTGTATAGAAAAAAACAAAGCGCGAGTTCCGGTCTGTTCAACCCCAGTTGGGGTCACTGTCCTTCACCTTCAATAACTTAAAAACTACCGGCCCCAGAGATACGAAATGAAGTCTAAGTAGCTCAGGCTTGGCCAAACAAGGGTACGAGGCGGGTCTCGCGATCCGTGCGTGATTTGTAGAGCGAAAAAAAATTCCAAAGTTGGTCACGCAGGGCATGTGAGACCCGTCGCGAGCGTCATGGCGGGGGTCACGCAACTGTTGTGTGACCCGTCTGAAGTGAGTTAAAATGCAGGCAATTTCAAAATTTCGGATTTGTCAGGAAAATCGGCACCTCTGAGACTTAGAACGAGAACTGCAACGGCAGCATACTCACTGGACGCAGCAACCTCGACTCTGACGTCCGCACAGTCCAGCTGACCAGCATTCCAGGCACATCTGAGGAGGAATATTTATAACGTTTAGGTAAGATTTTAACAGCACTTGCTACACAATTAGGTGGTTGCATACACATTTCAACAACTCAGCGTATGAGTCCGTCATATGTTACTTTTCAAAATGGTAGGCTGAATCTTACACTTAGCATTCTATTTGTTCAACACTATCGTCTCTCATCTGTCAGCGTTGCCACTGTTGTTGGTAGGAGCTTCACATAAATTGCAAGAGTTGGTTTCATTCTCAGTTGCTGCTGAGTTTTATCACCTCTTGTAGCTGATCCCAGAGATGTTGGTCGTCGTTAAAACTTGTAAAAATATCCCTTGAAGTAGCCTACACTTTTCTTTGAAGTTTTATTTTAGATTTATCTGAAACATGGACACCTCTGAATCAAAAACTTGTAAAAATGAATTTGAACAGATGGGAGAAAGGAAAAGACCAAGTTGACATGTTTTTTGAGAGCATCCAAAAAAGAGAAATGAGTGGCAAACCATGACTGCCCATGTATGTTTCAGATCAGGAGATTAAAGAAGAAAAAGTTACCAGAAGAATATGACAAATTACCTGCGAAGTTTTGTGACATTCGCCTTGGCCAACAAGGCTTCCCCAAACCTCTCTGCAAGCTCCTGACACACGGTCACACTTTCATGATTCAGCAAAGGCCTGATGGGAAATGAATTCTTTTTTTAAAAATTGAAAATGTTTTATGCTCCCACTCCCTCGTGGCTCTTAGCGCATCACTATAAAATAAAATTTAAATCAACGTTTCATGCATACTGGTCCATTCAACGTTCAACAATCCTTTCAAATACAAATACACTCACAATCTGACAAAGAACACATTCACAAAAAGACTATCACAGTGGTTACTGATCACATTTGTGGTAGGAATGGGACTAGTCATGCAAACAAAAGCATAAAAACAACTCTGACCAGAAGGGCTCTCCATGGCAATGTTGCAAGCAGAAAAAAAAGAGGTATTAGAAGTTATTTTTACGTGTGACCATAACAAGTTTAAAGTTTAGGTTTAGTTTAGTTTTAGTAAAGGTTTTACGGTGCTCGCAACTGCATAAGGTCATATGAGCGCTAAGGGGTGTATGTCAACAGAGAAGTCCTTACAGGGAATCAGACTTATTCTGCTCACCTCTCTAGCTTCAACAGCACAAAGTCTGCTTCGACTATCAAGGCACCCCGGAAATAGTGGGTCACAAAAGTGTGACAAGCATACAAAAGAAGTAGAGGGAAAATGACAATAGTAAGGATTAGGAAAGAAAAAGCAGCAGTTCCCTGTTGTAGATCAGGCACAGTTATGAGCATGACATTGATGAATCAGCCCATTTGCAATACTACTGTGCATGAACGAGAAATGTCCACCCCTTTGGGAATGGCCTAAAGACACTTCAGTCAGTGGATCCGCCGCGGGGGGTAAATTAAACAGAAGCGACACACGTAGAGATGATGACCTGCTAAAATCAAATCTATGCTCTTTGTTAAAGGCAACCTTCGTCTAAAAAGAGTTTTTTTAAAAAAGGAAGGCTCTAACACTGTTTCAAATGTTTTCAGCACATAATCATCCAGAGTAACAGAAGTCACTGAAGATTCATTTTTCATCGAAAGGCCCTTTAGCAAAATTTCTATAAATATTCCAGGCGTAAAATTCCACTGCTTTGAGTTTGTTTTGGGTCAAGGTTGATCTATGTACGTAAGCCAATGGCATCTTTCTCATCTGAATGGCTTACAGAGATTATTTTCCTAACTTGCATTTCTCACTCAGTGATCCATTCATGTAGATTCGCGCTCATAGCATCAGAAGGGTTAACCCTGAAAACCCATCATGGTCCAGGGTTCGTTTTAGTTATAGTAAGTGTTCTATGGCCCTTGCAACACAATAATGTCATATAGGTGCCAAAGATTAGAGGTATTACAAGAGAGTAACAAACATAAAAAAGAAGGAGGGGAGATAAGGACAATAGTTGTTTGATAGGAAAGAAGGAGCAAACCACACCAGAGCACCCGTCAACCACTCACGGGTCCAGGATTCAAAGGTTAAGACAACAGTGGTCAAGCAACAAGCTGGACATCACAACTTACACAAACAGCTGGTCAACAAGATGACCACTCTTTGGCCCCAGTTGATGCAAAAGAACGGGAAAGCATCTCACTGCTGTTTTCAGAATGGTCTCATTGTTGTCATTCTGGAAAAAGACAAGAAAAATTGTCCTGGGTTGAGTCATAGTGATTGCTCACTGTTGGTGTTTCACGCCACCATTGACACTACTTAGATCATTCAGGAGACAGGCTGCTCCGACTCTGCCTGTTAAGACCAACCCCAAATGAAAGGGACATCACGTCCCTGCAGGCTGATGAAAGATACTCTATAAAAAGACCTTCCCAAATGTGATTTAAACTCACACCTTCTGCAAGAGACGAGAAGTGCATATCACAGACACTGGGTCAGTAAAGGCAGAGGAAGTGGAAATATTATAAATATGAATGGTAAAATAACTTCGTTAAAATGTAAACAGGAACACTTTTGATACAGGAAAAAATACAAAAGGCAAACCTGAAAAAGATACAAAATATACAGTCGAACCTGCCCAAGAAAACCACCCATTGTTGGGGAGAAAAGTGGTCCTCTTAGAGAGAGTCATTAAAATATAAGGAAAAAACGCAAACGGGGGGGGGGAGATGGAAAGTAGTCGTTTTTACAGGTCATTGTTTTAGACAGGTGGTCGTTAGAGCACTTTCAACTGTATTTTTTTTTTTAAAGTAGATGGAGTTGCGGAATTCAGACAACTCCTCTCTTCAGTTCGTACAAATATAAAGCACAGACATGTATTCTCTAAGCTCGTTTGAATAAATGAAGTACATTAGTAAAACATTAGTCTTTTGGTGCACTGAAAAAAACAACCTCCAACCATCCAGTGAGACAGGAGCTAAATTTTGTCATATAACAAGATGCGGACCATCTTGTAGTTTGTGCTGCAATGCCAGATGTATAGATCTGTGAAA